GCATGGAGGGGATTGTAATCTTTGCAATGAAAAGAAACATGATAGGATGAATGTAAAAGCTGATGCTCTCCCATGTAAACTATCATTCAATTCACAATAAAAAAACTTTTTGAAAAATATATGTGTCCAGTCTCGCATTTCAATGTTGTTGTTGAATGCTGTCAAGATGTCAAGTCGGTTTTGACTCAGGGGTATGTCATGTGACAGCATAGACCTACCGCATAGGACTTTTCAGGCTGTAATCTTTACTGGAAGGACTGTTGTTGTTGCTAAGCGCTGTCAAGCTGGTTCTAGCTTGTTGTGACCCTGTACAGCATTTCTGAGGAGCTGCTGGTGGTTTTGAACCACTGACCTTACAGTTAGCAGTCCAGTGCTTATCCTACAGCGCTAATCCCTGGAAAAAAACATCATACATAAAGCAGCAGGTCATCGAAAAAGAGGAAGAACCCCAGTGAGATGAATTGACACATTGGCAGCGACAGTGCACACCAACATAGAGAGGACTGTGAGGGTGGGTCAGAACCAGGCAGTGTTTCATTCTGTTGTAAGAGGGTCACTGGGAGTCGGAACCAACTCAACAGCACCCACCAACAACAAAAATCTGTACAGGAACAGATTGCCAGGTTGTTCCACTGTGGAGCAGCTGAGTGGGTTCGAAAAATCAACCTTTTGGTTAACAGCCGCACACTTAGCTGTTGTGTAGAACCAGGATTCCTTTCCGTTTCATTAGGCTACTGCATAAAAAGCTATGTGGTTTCTGGATGCTTTCAACGGCCGGCGTCCTAATATCCCCACACAGACTATTTCACTGCAGGCCTTCAAAGCTCTCATCACTGGAAACTTTGGTGTCACCAAGAGCCAAGCCCCTCTCTCTTTCACCAAAGGGAATCCCCGCCCCTCACCTCCTCCTAAGTGGCAGTTATCACAGTTCAAATGTTTTCTGCATAGTAACACCGTCTATGACTCCCCCAATACACCATGAATCCCCACCCCGTCTGGTCCCTCTTGGCCCTGAGTCCTCTGTCCTGTGCCTCTTTGAAGGCTGACCACGTATCTTAGCCCCTCTGCATTCCTGGAAGACATGCCTATGCTCAAGAAACGCTTGTGAAATGGAGACAGATACACATCAATGTCCTGGAAAGTTAAAAATAATTTTATTTATGCCTGAAAGAAGCTGGCAAACTCCAGATAAACTATGGGCCATAATCCCAATCCTTCATCATTAGAATTAGGAGAGTCCATGGACTCTTCTGTGCTGCTAGTTAGGGGCTGAGCTCAGCTACTAAGAATACAAGTGGAGAAACATGCACCATTCCATCTCCAGTCACCATGTATCTGTCCCCTTGTCTTGTTCCTTTTTCTACTCAATAGATAATCTACCCAGCATGTCCAGGAATCAGATGGTGTTAAAACCACCTGCAAAAGCAAAGTGAGGCAATATTCAGAGAATCAGAACTGACTTTGTCTAACACCTCCTGGGTACAGGTTGGAAAATGGCTACTTCTGAGCCAAAGTAATACAGCTGTCAGATTTGTGAGCGTCTAGGGAGTGAGAGTCTAACTACAGTTTAGTTTCAAACCAGAGGATCCATTGAAAAAACTGAGCTGAAACTGGCTCTACATTGTACTGACTTGTCAGGTTTTCGGCTGTGAGGAAAGAGAAGGAGAGACGGTGAGCAAATCACCAGAGGAATGTGGAACACGCAGTCATGACTCAAGAGGGACCATCCAGACTCTGGATTCACACAAAGACCCCAGGGAAACTTGATGCCAATTCAACACATTGTTGGGGCCACTCAGATGGCCTCAGGAGGTGCCCCGTTGAACTTCCTAATATGACTGCCATCCAGGGTGACTGGCCTACGTCTGTAGATATTGGGCAGCATCTGTAACTATCTTTGGTACACTGGTGGGGTTAGGAAATACTATTGGCATCTAGTGGCTGGAAACCAGGAGGGATGCTGCTGAACATCCTGCAAGGCACAGGACAGCCTCCACAGCAAAGAATGATCTAGTCTCAAATGTCCACAGAGTTGAGGTGGGGAAAGCCTGAGCCACAGAAACCAGGAAACAGGCCAGATCCCTATGAACCTAATCCTCCTCCCTCCCCCACCCCCCAAGGGCCTCTAAATCACACTACAAGGTGCTTACTACTGGATTTTGGATAGTTAGTCAAGTTTCTCTTTTAGGACAAAGGACTCAGCTTTGTTTGCAGGTGAGAAGGACAAGCAATCACCAATCGGATGGATCGCCCCCTTGGTGTTTGTAGGGGGTTCCAGAGTGTTCGACCATTGAAAGGTAACGCAGACCAGTGAATTCCAGGTCCACAGACTAGAAACTGGAAAACCACATTTCTCAGATTCTCTCATCAACTTGGTTCCAGTAAGGTGCTGCCAATGACAACTCTCATGTGATGTTTGAAGGTGGGAGTAAGGGGAGAGAAGTTCTGCTTCCGACTACGTCGGTGGTTGACAGACGTGTAGTGCATAGACGGGAAGCCACCTAAGAAGAGCACATAGTACTGCCCGGGGCTGTGGGGCTAGTTCCAGCAGTAGCAGCAGGAAGGGCAGGTTTGGGGGGGTTACAGCTTCCCCATCCTTGGGTGATACATTTGCTCCCTTCTGCTCCTCTAACCCCACATTGCTGGTAGACTCCTAACTTCCGTAACACCCCACTTTACCTATTAAGCTTCTTCTGACCTCCCCACACCTTTGTAACACATTCCTTGCATTAACGACGTCACTACTTGGGAAAAAATAATAGAAATGAAAAGACATGCCAGGCCTAGGAGTTAGGTTAGAATAGCATTTGCCTTAGACCTACACACCAGGGTCCCCATCCAGTCACTCCGTATCTGCCCCAAGCTTAAAGGAATCTCCCCTCAGACACGCATGCATTTATGAGAAATGTGCATGCTCTTTGCTAGATGGTTTCTGTACTTCCCATTAACTGCTGCAAAGAAGTCAAGTCATGGTACATGAGATTGATGCAGGTGCCCAAACCCTGCCTGGAACAGGTAGTTCTATTGACAGTGAGAGTTTAATGGAGATTGAAGATGAACTGCAACCAGTTGGGATCATCTGCAGGCCAAACAACAGATTAACCTGATAACATATGCTTTGGAAATAGAGCCAAAATCCAGCCTCTGGTAGACGACAGAGGCTTAAGTGTTGGGCTACTAACAGTTTGGACCCACCGGGTCACTCCGCGGAAGAAAGATGAGGCAGTCTGCTTCTGGAAAGATTTACAGCCTTGGAAACCCTATGGAGCAGTTCTACTCTGTTCTATCAGGATGCTAGGAGTCAGAATCCACTGGGTTGGGTTTCGGTTCGTTTTATAGTGCTGAGTTCTATGGTTTGGGTATAATCTCTTGCTCTCTGCCTCGACTTTTGTTTCTACTGCCTACCTTCCTTAAAACACCAGGCAGAACAGTGAACAACACTGGTTCCCTTTTAGTAATCTATATCCTAACACACACACTTTATTCATCTGAGATGCTAATACTTCCGATAAAGGAGGCTGAAATGTGATATTTATCTTATGTTAATAGGGACAGATACAGTCTTGGATGCTATTTCGAAACTGCTCCATGGTTGGGTTTCCATCGGCCTAAATCTCACGCCATTACGTGGTATTTCACTTCATTTCTGTAATGTTACTTATACTTTAGAGTATTCTGTTTCCACGAATTGAATTTCCCTTCCCTTATAGAAACAGATCTGAGGTAAGCCTATAGAGTTGGTGGACCAGAAAGGATAGGAGGTGTTCATTTTCAAAGCAACTCATGTTTATTCTCGGAAAGTAAACAGATTTTCTAAGAACCCATCAACCAGTTTCCCATTGGCTCTGTTCCTCTAACATTCTTAAACAGAGAACATACATTTCAAAGGTACCAAATCGCTCCCTCTGAGTGCCTGATTTACTATTGGTTTCTGTTTATTTGGTAGAAGTTAAGAATATATATAGCCATGAGCTTCCATACCCCTAAGGACACTATTTTTTTCTTATACTCAGATTTCTGAAACTGGGCCTTGGTCATTGTAGGAAAAGGAAGAGATCAATACTAGAGAATTCTAGTAGTTTATTCCCTTCTGCCACCCAAACACATACACACAGAGAGAGTTATCAACAACACCCTCCAGAATGTTCCTGAAGTCTCTGTCAGAACAGAAGTCAGACATTTCAAAGCATGCCTCCTCCAAGCCTTACAAACAGCATGTTGGTGTTCTGTGCTGTCCAGTCAGTTCTGACTCACTGCTACCCCATGTACAGGAGTAGCTGGTGGGTTTGAACTGCCGACCTTGTGATTCAAAATTCAGTGCTGTATCAGCGCCACACCAGGAGTCCATACAAACAGCATTGTTTTTGGTAAATGCCTTCGAGTCCTCTCCAACTCATATCATCCCTGTATAGGGTTTTCACAGCGGGCCTTGCAGTTCAAACCGACCTTGCAGTCCTGCGCATTAACCCCACAGCACCACACCAGGACTCCAAACAAATAGCACGTAGTTGTTGTTAAATACCTTGGAGTCGGTTCCGACTCATAGTGACCCTGAACAGCGTTTCCGAGTCTGTAAATCTTTACAGGAGCAGAACGCCTCATCTTTCTCCCGCGGAACCGCTGGTAGTTTCGAACTGCTGACCTTGAGGTTAGCAGCCCGATTCGTAACCACTACGCTACCAGAGCTCCTTAAACCAGCAGAGAAGTCCATTATTTGAGTTTCGAAAACGAATCAACATTGGGTAAAGGGGCGGAATGTCCCACTGAAATTGCCTGCCGCACAAACATGAAACCAGAACACCCACTCTTGGTCCAGCCCTCATCGAGTTTAAGGAGTGGAGCCAAGAAGTCCCATTAAGACATACACGCAGGTTGCCACTAGGGATGGCCCATTCCCAGGCATCATCTGACCAGCCCAGGCAGGACAGCCATACCATGAAACCCCTCAGCGGCCCTGCGATTCAAGTCAGCCCCTTGAGCCCGGGCGGGTGGGTCCCTACCTCAGACTTCCACACGACGTAGGAGGGGCCGCGGCTGCTGGGTGGGGGCTGGGACCTCCTCTGCTGGAGCCACCTTCGGGGAGAAGCGAAAATGCCATTGGAGCCGCCCGCAGACGAGCAGAGGATGCTTGCAGCGCTCCGGCCACCGCCTGGGCCGGCCAGCATGGAAGGTACATCCCAGGCCAGGCTCTTCTTGAGGCCGCTGCGACCCAGTGGGACCTCATAGTCAAAGTGCAAGCTGCCCGACGGCGACTTCTCCTGCGGGGTGCTGGGCGTGGAGAAGGACGAGCAGAGGGGTCTCGGGGGCGGCAGACGGGCGGCTCGAGGGGGCAGGCCACGGGGCAAGGACGCCGCGCGGGGTCCCTGGCCCTCTGCAGAGGTCATCGAGGAGCACAGACGGATCCCTGTAGTCCCTCGTGGCCCAGGCTCGCCGTCGGCGCCCGCCTCAGCTCCGCGGCCACCGATCAGGGCCGGGTCCAGGCTGCGAGTCTGGCGCAGTTTTCTCTTGGAGTGACCCTTAGCCGCGGCCGCGCCGCCTGGGGCAGGCGACGAGCAGGAGAACACGCTGTGCAGCAGACTCTGAGCCGACATCGCGGTGGCGCCGGGCCGGGCTGCGGGCGGCGGCGCGGGAGGATGCGGGCGCGCGGGCGCCTGAGGGCAGAACAGACTCACGAGCCCCTCGCGCCAGCCAAGGACCCCGGCGGGGGCGGGAGCCGGCGTGCCATCACCAGCCTTCTAGGAAAGGGGGCCGGGGCCTCCGCAGTACTAGAACCTTCCCAGGAGCCCGAGTCCCGGGACGAGAGGAAGAAGAGGAGGAAGGTCAGGCGCTCACAGGGCTCTCAGCTCCAGCCGCCAGCGCCACTCCCCCTTTGCAACTGAGGCGGGAGACACCGCGCTTGCTCGCTCACTCGCTCGCTCGCTGGCTTGGGACAGTCTCGCAGTCTCCAGCAGGCTCCTCCTCGCCTCCGGAGCACGGTCCCGAGGGCTGGGGAGGAGGCTGCCTGGGCGTGCGCCCAGGGCGCGCCCGCCGGACTCCTGCGCCGCCACCGGGCGTCTTCCTGAGTCCGAGACGGGCGCAGGGGAGCCTTCTCAGTGAGACCTGGAGCGCCCGGAGAGGCGCAGCTGGCTCCACTTAACCGCTGCGCTCACAGTTCTGATAGGAGAGGCACAAGGGGGTCTAAAAACTCAAGGTTCCCGCGGGATACTGGCTCGCTCAAAGTGGGGGGCCCAGAGCGCTCTGAGCCCAGGACCTTCCAAGAGCTGGGTGGCGACGGAGTAGGAATTCCTGGCTGCACTCGGCGTTATTGGCAAAGCTGGGAGCTAAGTCGCGTCGTCTAGGGCCGGGAGCCCGGGTTCTGCTCGGGAGGGTGACTTGATCTTCGCAGCTGAGCTTGGGGCCCAGGGTGGGCACAGAGAGGTCACCGCATGCTCCCGCCAGAGTCAGCGAGAAGCTGGTGGTCGGGTCACCTAGGGCCCGGAGGAGAGCTAGGGCTGGGTTGGGGCGGAGCAAGGAGCAGGAGAAAGCAGAACTGGGGGGGGGGGGGGCGTTTTCTAGGCGCCAAACCTGGGAGCCATGGGGAGAGGCAGCTGACCACTGATAGCGCGTCTCCTGGGGAGAAAGGCATGACAACCAGAGTGCGGACCTTCCCCCATTTCCCCTCCCCCAGGTCCAGGGGTCTGGGCGCCAGCTCCACTCACGTTTCTAGAAAGGAAGGGAGGTGTCAGATTGCACCCCACCCACTGGTGTCAGATGGGCTGCCCAGGACGATTGCCCTGATGGAGTGAAATCTCCAGCCTTCCTCACCCCTCTAGCCCTCCGCTGTTTTTGTTTTAAAAGCGGAAGGACAGGGGACTCAGTTCCAATGTAGAAGCTGCCCAGGCACGGACTGGTGATGGGGACCTGCTAAGAAGGGCTGTGAACACGTGTGTAAATGGAAACCAAGAGGAGGGCTGAGGGAAGCCTGGCAGCCATCAGGGCGTTTGAGATTCCAGCTTACCAAATCCTCGGTCTGGTCTCCGGGTCCCTCTTGGGGCCACTTCTGTGCGCTGTGTTCCGGGGCCACCTTCCTGGGAAGCGGGGATATGCAGGGCGACCTCAGTGATCCCTGTTGGAAACCAGGAGCGGCTTCTTCCCTTACTGTGGAACACTTAGCATCAGCAAGGTAGCGGACAAGATGTTGGTAGCGCCTGCCTTCTTTATTTAAACTTTGCTTTCCTGTCCCCTTTTCCCACTTTACGGTGAAGAGAATTTTCTATAAATGTAAAGGTGCTTTTCCTTGAACGTTTATCAAAAGGGAAAAAAGGACTTACAATGAACTTTAACTTATAAATAATAATACCAGTGTTTGACATAAACATTCATCCTGTTTCTTGTAGGTAAGAATTGTCCAACTTTTTTTAGAAGACTACCTTTATTCCTCCATGAAATTCTCAGGGAATAAAATACGGCCTTTCCATTTTGAAAAATATGGCTAGTGTGAGTTATCTAGGAGGAGGTGCTTCATGAAATCCTACTAACAGGAGAACTTGATGCTTCTATAAATGGTAGGGGCCCTGGGATCTCTAAGGTGCATGTTTTTTTGTAAAGGCTGCACCCAAGGAAATCCGGTAACTTTGAGCTCTCTGCTAGCAATTTCTCAGCATCACACTCCTGTCCATCTCTTCTCACCTCTTTGCCTGGCCTGAACCTCTTAAGTATGTTGTTGTTCAAGTGGCTGATGGGTTAGAACCACCAACCTTGAGATTACCAATCTGGTCCTTATCCTATAGCACCACATCAGGACTTAAGTATGTTCAACCCAAAATAACCTAATCCGATGCCATTAGTCAATTCTGACTCATAGGGACTCCAAAAGGTCTAGGATTTCGGAGACTAAAAATCTTTATGAGAGTAGACAGCCTCATCTTATCCCCATGAGGTGGCTGGTGGACTTGAACCACTGACCCTGCAGTTAGCAGCCCAATGCTTAACCCACTAGGCATGCCACCGGGGCTCAGTGGCTGCCAATTAGGCGTGATGTTGAGAGGCACAATCTTGTAGGTGGCTAGTTTCCTTACCTGGCTAACCAGTTACATTTGGGAGACTGTTACTTTTGATTGTCTTCCATCCTTCAACAAGCCAAGCGAGAAGTATAAGTGAGCGGGCCAGGGATTGCCTGCCATTTCTGGAGTAACAGTACCTTGTAATTTGTCACTATTAATGAAAACCTAATGCCTCTAGCATTTGGATACCATTGCAAGAAATTAGTTATGCCTCACTGGATTTAGGTATTTGGGGTAGATGGTTAACAAAGTCACACTTTCTAGAACTACTTAGAACTCAAGGTGGTTGAGCAAATGTAATTTATGAGTCATCTAAATTCTAATTCTCTGAGCCCATCTCATGACCACAGGGTTGAAAATGCAACCTGCTCGGATTGGGTAGGACTAATATGATAACCCTCCAGGCGAAACACCATACATTCCTGGGCATGGGCGTTAGAGACTCAGTGAGCAGCTAGACTCTTGTATTAGCATTTGGGGCGGGGAGCAGACATGTGCCAATTAATTCATCATCTTGTTTCCAAGGGGTTCTGACCCTTGGAAAACCTGGAGCTTGCTTGGCTATTGGGAGCAATGAATACATTGTTTAAAATATTCATTAAATGAACTGTGTGCTCCTTTTTAAAACTCAATGTACACTTTGAAAACATGGCACATGCAGTGGCATCACAGACTATTGTCACTCAGTGTGGTCATTCATAGTGCCACCCGTGCACTTCCTCGTATACCAGACCATGCAGAATCTTTACTCATATTTACTATTCATTCTAATTATAAATTTGTTGTGGTTGTTAAATACCATCAAGTCTGTTCCGACTCATAGCAACCCTGTATAGGGTTTCTGAGGAGCGGTTGGTGAGTTTGAACCTCCAACCTTGTGGTTCAAACCGACCTTGCAGTCCAGTGCTTATCCTACAGAGCCACACCAGGACTCCAAAGTATAGACTTGTTGTTGTTGTTGTTAAGTGCCGTCGAGTCGGTTCCGACCCATAGCGACCCTGTACAGGGTTTCCGAGGGTGTAAATCTTTA